CCCCCCCCCCCCCACCATGTCGATTCCAGTCCAGCACATCTTAGTCCGTGCTTTTGATTTAATTTATCTACATATTTACATTTTATTGTTGTTTTAGTATTTATGTCTATCAGGTAATATTCCGAGTTCCGATCACTATGAAATTGTTACCCAACATGCACTGAGCAGTGAGCAAGCTGACAGAGGTGCAGATAAGAATTTCATACTAAAAACGTCCATAGTGTGTAAGTCGTAGACCCAATTGTATTTCAATGGTCCTTAATTAGGTGTATGTCACGAATTATTATGATATATGACTACATGAGCAGTCTATGTATGCTTACATACCTGATACCTATATGCTTATATAAGTGTGGCTACGTGACGATTAGTTTTAAAATTCTTTTCATATAATATATGACGCGTGATCGCCACTGCCCATTGAGTTGCCGGAAAACTATAAATTAAAATATCACAGAATAACACCTATTGACCTATTTCACTTTCTGGACGTGCCTAGTAAACTCCGATAAAAGCATTGTACTGTGTACTCGATAAACTCATAGGGAAATTAGGATTTTCCCGGTAGGCCCCATCAATATTACACCCAGAGGCCACAAACTCGAAAAATGTAAAAAATAATTGAATTTAAAAAAATTAATTTTTGTAATGACATTTTTATAATTTCAATACTTTAATGTCATACCGGCTGGTTGCTGTACAATATTAATGCGTATATTATGTAATATTTTTAGTTTGTACATTCCACTAGGCACAACTAATAACCGCCTGATGATAATAATCATTAACAATTACAATTACTAATATGTCCATAATTATAACTAATAATTAAATAATTATTCTAACAGCTAAGGTTTATTACAAATTGTTGAAGTTCATATTATTGGTAAAGTACCTACAGTTTGTATTTTCTATGTATCAAAATTTAATTGTACAATCTAAATGTGAATAAATATCACAACTTATACGTGCGCAATAGGAAATGTGACGACATTGGTAAGACACATAGTTTGAATATTAGATACGTTCCTACAGCATATTAAAACATTTCCATGTAGAAAAAATACACATTGGGAAGTTTAAATATTAATTTTATAATAATTGGTTAATGGCAGTGCTAGTGTAACATTTCTCCAGCATGTGCATGGAAAAATTGGGTTTTCCCATGTTTGAGAGGGGGGAGGGTTACCAAATTTTATTTTGGTTGTATAAAATTGTACAAAATAAAGTACTTATACTGTCAAGGTTTGATTTTAAGATTCGAAAGAGACCGTGCTGGCGAAACGCACCTGCAGTCAGGCCATCATAATATTTTCAAACCACGAAAATTATAAGGGGTTGTGAGTTGTATATAACAAATAGGTACATAAGACTGCGAGTAAGCTGCATTATTATTTTTTTTTTTAGATCGGGTGAAATTTGTGAAGTTGAAATTTCGAAAAAATGTCCAAAATATGCAAATTAAGTACAATAACGTAAAAATTTCAAAGTCTAATTTTGAATTTTTTTCATGTCTCGACACTTCTAGAGTTTTATATTAAGTTATAGTTTAACCGTTAAGACTAAAAATAATATTGAGTGATGCCGGACAAAAAAATGGACTCGCGACAGTAATGTATCTAAATGGCAGAGTTCTTTTTTATCTTTTTTTATCTAAAACGCAGAGTTCCGTGTTCTGAATTGTATATAGGTTTAAACACTCCGAATAATATTCTGTTTCGGAATCTGAAATAAAAAATGTATCGTGTCATCCAAAGAATTCAAAAACTCGAAAACTGATAACAACATATTATATTATAATATGTATCTTCTATGGCAAAAGCCGATCGTCGTCACACATCGGAGACGATTCACAATTCTAATAATTTCATCGAACAAAAGAGAAATGTGTAAGGCTACAATAAACATTTACTCACATATTTCATTCTACTCAAGTAATTTTTATAAAAAATTTCGATTTTTTCAGTTCAGATTTAGATGAAGAAATAGAAGTTCCTCAATATGGCGTCTGCACTCAAGACATGTCTATATCTTAGCAGCTTTATATTACCCGAAGAGTCGATGTATACGTAAGTTTGATTACCTATTCTTTTGGGGCTTACATATTTTACTTTTTAGTCTCAAAATTAAAATTTATAGCCACAGACAATTTGCTACCCGGGTGAAGTAGGGGCATTTTTTTTTGTTCCCGAGCGCACAACACAAAAAAATACGCTTGTAGGTCTAGCTTATCCAGGTCGCAGTATAATAACATATTTATACAATTAAATAGATATAAATAGGCAAATAGCGTTGTACATACTACTCATACTACAGTAGTACAGTACACGGGAGTTCTTATGTCCCGCAAAATTCAACAATTTTTATTTTTAGTTTATATAAATGTTGAGTAATATATGAATATTACTACGGCGTCAGCTTGTGGTCGAACCGCGAATTAAAGTGACGCCGTCGTACATCAAATATCAAATTATTTTATAAAGCTGGGAAAGTCACTCTGCTGATTATTGAATACCTATCGGAAATTAAATAAGGAAATTTTAAATTTTAAATATCCTCGAATAGCTTAAAATATACCTAACCAATGCACTCAAAATTAATACATAAAATATTAATTATTAATTTCGTACTTTAAAACAGTATTCAGAAAAAAGATTTAACTTGGAATTTTATAAACTATAGTTGGTATAGTCGGTATACGGTAAATGTGATGCATTAGGCACTGAATACCTTTATGTTAAATCTAAAAAGTAGTAATCACATTTATTTACAATAAGATTTTTATTTAATGACTCATAAAAAAATATGATTGTGCTTCGAATATTTAAACACCACCTTTATTAATTATTAAATTAAAAATTAAAATAATAGGTACTTTATATTATATTGTAGTAATTTAAATTTTAAAATTATAAACTATTTTAGTTATTGTTAACCTCATTAGTCATTTCATTATTTTAATGATCAAATCTCAAACACGGACCTCCTTCATATAAAACTTTGTAATATCTATGGTTTTATGATGCTGACGTAGTATAAAATATAATGCAATCCGTGGCGATTGTCAAAGTAGTCGCAAAGACGCAATCGATCTAAAATTTCAGTTAGCAAAGCTGCAGACATGAACAAGAAACATGAAGCGACCCGTATGGTTTTTTTTTTCAAATCTCAATATTTTCAGACTTAGTGCAGTCGTATATCTGATTTATTCCGCAATGCACATGCAATATCAGGAATTTCACCGAAGCCCGAAAGCCTCGATGTTTAAAGTAATTAATTTTGGTTTCATATATTTTTGGTGCTTACATTTATTTTTTATACTTCAAATAAAAATTTTATTTCATGAAAAATATGCTACCCCTGTGTAGACACATATTTTATTTCTGAGAGCAAATGCACAAAATATACGAGAGATCAAATAATATACAAACGCCGCTCGTCGTTGTCGTTTTTCTGCTCCCTGATGGTAGGGTAATTTTATAATTATAACCTATTTTTAAGTACTTTAAATAGACATTCATTATACGGTTTAATTTAGAAATTCCCGTTATAAATGATTACTCATAAGACACAATTTTAATTAATTATAACTTATAATCT